GCTGATGAAGGGTCTAGGCCTGAAACGTCAGCCTTCCTGCTCCTATGATGCTGCTTGGCCTGCTGTGTTCATCCAGCTCTACACCCTGTTATCTCAGATTTTCCAGCATCTGCAGTTCCTACTGTCTCGGAGTTAAAAGAGAAGTTGTTGAGGGTGAGGACAAGCTTGGCTAAGCGGAGGAGAGTACTGGTGGGTGGGGACGGTTCAGGCCTTCGTTCCAAGAAGTGAAGAGCCCCAAGGCCATCCTGGTAGGGTATGGGCGTGTAAAGGGATTGCATATCCATGGTAAGGAGGAGGTGGCTGGAGCCTGCAAACTGGAAATTTTGAAACTGGTGTAAAGCATCAAAGGAATCACAGATGTACGTGGGCTGGGATTGGGTTAGGGGAGAGAAGACTGAGTCAAAGTTGGAAGAGATGAGTTCTGTGGGGCAGGAGCAGGCTGAAAGAATGCGTCTGTATGGACTGTCATGTGTGGTTTTTTGGAAGGAAAGCTGGAAGAACAGCACCTTATTTTCCACTTGGGGACCCTGCAGCTCTCCAGGCTTAACATCGAGTTCTATAATTTTAGGGCCTAAACTCTCCCATGTCCCAGCCCCCTATCCAACACACCAGGCCTTGTTATCACATAGCCTGCCATTACACACTACCTATTACTAGTCATTAACAGTCCCCATTAACAACTACTCACCCTCCCAGCCAGATTGTTATCCACTCCTTTGTCTATCCAACTGCTCTTCTCTCTCTTTGGGCTCTGTCTCCACCTATTGTTTACTCCTTATCCCGTCCTCCCACCCTATCTTCTGCATATAAAGCGACATTTTCCTAGCTACCATCAGTTCTGACGAAGGGTCATTGGACCTGAAACGTTCACTCTGATTTTTCTTCACAGATGCTGCCAGACCTGCTGAGTTTTTCCAGCAACTTGTGTTTTCGTTTCTGATTTACAGCACCTGCAGTTCTTTCGGTTTTTATCTATGATTCTGTTACTGCTTCAAGAGGACGCCTACCACCAGCATTTCCAGGGCAACTAGGGATGGACAATAAATGCTGTCTCTAACTGTGATGCTCACATCCCATGAAAGAATTTGAGAAAACTCAACTTCCTTACATTTTCTCCATACCCCTCCTAAAATACCCCTCCCCAACAAATATCTATTGATCATGAAATGGCCTACAGATGTCCAGCATCTGCAGCATTTTGGAGGGGAGCAAGTCCCAGATTCGGTCTCCCATCCATGTGAAGAATTGCTTCCCAACAGTCAAACAGCTTTCTTTCAAACAGGGGAGTTAATGATCACTTGATTAAGGGGGCTCAAATGCCAGAAGTCCCCATCACACCCCCACCACGACGATATGTCGCACGGCATCAAACGTTCTCAAAACCCATCAAATACCTTTTCATCGTTGGTTGTTAGGTTGGGAGTGCGAACAGGAGCATGAGGCAGGCTGGTGTCTCTCCCTCTTTTGGGGGGCAGAGGTTTCAAAGGAAGCCCAGAGCACAACTCAACCAGCAGTGGGTTCATTCCTGCAGACGGGGGACTGTGCTGACTCTCGGAGAGACGCTGCTGGTGACAGGTCGGGCCACAGAGCAGACAGATATTGCTTCAAAGCATAACGGAGATCCTCCCAGAACCCAACCTATCAGACTTCTCCCTCTGTCATTGGACAGTAATCATTCCCCAAAAATAAATTATTAACATATTGATGGACACACAATCTCTCTGCAAATATCTGTTCTTCTACATTTCAATAAATATTAACCATTTTGCTGGACATTCAAACGTTAATGGGGGTCAGGGGCATCAGGGACCAGCGCATGTCAGCTCCAAACATCAATTCCTCCATTTCAGATCAGGTTTAATCAGTCTCTGGGTCAGTCCCAGCTGGAGCCAGCAGGTTCTCGGTTCAATTCTCACACCAGAGATGTGAGCTCATAATCTAGACTCACACTCCCGGTGCAGTGCAGCACTGTCAGAGGGTCAGTGCTGAGGGAGTGCCGCACTGTCGGAGGGTCAGTACTGAGGGAGTGCCGCACTGTCAGAGGGTCAGTACTGAGGGAGTGCAGCACTGTCGGAAGGTCAGTGCTGAGGGAGTGCCACACTGTCAGAGGGTCAGTGCTGAGGGAGTGCCGCACTGTCGGAGGGTCAGTGCTGAGGGATTGTCGCACTGTCGGAGGGTCAGTACTGAAGGAGTGCCACACTGTCAGAGGGTCAGTGCTGAAGGAATGCTGCACTGTCAACTGCTCTGTGATTCTATCATTGGAACGTCCTGAGTCTTGGCAGCATCCTCGGGTGAAAACAGTTGAGATTGAAGATCCTGCACCAAGACGTTAATCAGGGTTTGGACCATCCCCTGAGTGCATTTGTGATGCTCGGTCGGTACAATATCCAGCTGACCCTCGCTCTCTGCACTCAGCAGTGAGAATCGGTAAACTGGGTGAGGAGATTGCAGGGGGTTGGCACCTCCCTTCGCTGTGATAGCCAGCACCTTTACATCAAATGGTGGATACGCAGGGAGGATAGGGCTCTGAGAGTGGGATGTGAATGCAGGACTGCTGGTGTGTGCTGGTGAAGACTTACTCTGTTTATAAATGTCTACCTGGAACATTCACTTGAACTCAAACCGTTTACTGCTAGCTGTCAAACTGAAATCTTGATTGCACAAGATGTCAACACACAGATGTCAGAGAAAAGTTCCAACATGGAGAGAGTCCTTTTCTCAGTTATTACCATCTCCGTGGTCAGAATTGAGAGTCCAAATCTTTAGGTGATATTCACTAGGCTGGGATTTGAACCTATGGACCCAAAGCATTAGCTGCAAGCCTCTGGATTGCAGTAACATTACCTCCACACCACTAACATCTGGTTTCACTGAGTGAATCCATTATGGCCTTCTGACCCATCATGCCTGTACTGACTCTTTCAGAAAAGCTATCCAGTTAGGCCTACTGCCCTGCTCCTTCCCTGTAGCCCTGCAAGTTGTGCTCCTTCATATATTCACCTAATTGCTCGCTGAAACCACTTCTATCGCCTTTCAGTTCCCATTCACAACAACCACTGCTTGAAAAACCTCCTTTTCTGTTGTTGCCTTTGCCTCTTTTGCTGATTCTCTGCAATCTGTGTCCTCTGGCTCCCCAACCCCTGCCACGGGGAACCATTTCTCTCTAACCACTTCAGCAAGGCCCTCATTGATTTTGAACATTTTAGCAAACCTCCGCCTCGATTTTCTTTGCTCTAAGGGAAACAATAGATGGTTTTGTGTTATTCACTCATGGGGTATGGGTGTCATTGGCTGGGCCCAGCATTTATTGCCCATCCCTAGTTGCCCCCTTGAGAAGGTGGGGGTGAGCTGCCTTCTTGAACTGCTGCAAACCACCTGCTGTGGGTTGACTCACAATGCCATTAGGGAGGGAATTCCAGGATTTTGACCCAGTGACAGTGAAGGAACGGCGATATATTTCAAAGTCAGGATGGTGAATGTCTTGGAGGGGAACTTGCAGGGGGATGGTGTTCCCGTGTACCTGCCGCCCTTGTCCTTCTAGATGGAAGTGATCGTGGGTTTGGAAGGTGCTGCCTGAGGATCTTTGGTGAATTTCTCCAAAACCTGGTACAATTGTGGTGTGGACTGGGTGCAAGTGAAGGGTGGGAAATCACCTCTTCCCTGATTGGATCATTTTGGGAAAGACGTCACTAATTGGGGCGGGGCCTGCTGCCCACGTGCCACTTCCGGGTTTACTGTATCCATTTCATGAAATAGCAACAGACACACATGACCCAGGAGGGTAACTGACACATGGAAAGATACAGAAGCTGAGACAAGCTCAGTAACTTGGGAATTCCACTCACTGTAATAGGACAGGGTTAACTGCTGTATACTTAATATCATCTGCAGAAAAACACAATGGAGCTATATTAAATGGGCAATTTAACCATCAGATTTATTTTTCTTACCTGAGATTTTTGAATTTAATTTTTTAATGCGTATTTATTAAACTGTGTTCGAAATCTCATCCTCTAGTGGATTTTTAGAGCTTTTTCTACCCCCCCACTACCCTTTTGCAATTCCCAAATTTCATTTGGTAAAACTGAAAGATTAGAGAATGCAAGCTGGCGAGGCTGGTCCGGAGGCAGGGTTAGAGAGAGGGGAGAGCTGAGCGCCGGCAGAGGGAAACAGGAATTGGGAACCAGACCGAACTGTCATGCAGACTGGAGCTGTTAGTCTGTTCTTGCTCCTGGGATGTATCGCCTGCAGCTCAGGAGGAGCAGGTAAGACAGGCAGAGTGCTAGCTCCGTTCAGGCTGCATTTTCATCTCAGCTTGCGCGTCTATCTCTCTCCTTGCCTGTCTTTATGTGTGTATCTGCATCTGTCACTGTCTGCCTGCCCATCCACCTCTGTCTGTCCAGCTCTCTTTATCTGTCCATCTTTCTCTATATCCCTATTTATCCACTTCTCTATCAATTTAGCTCCGTCTGTTTCTCATTATGTTATCTATCTGTCTCTCTAGCTCTCCGTCTGTCTGCCTCACTGTCTATCTCCCTCTGTCTGTATAGGTCTCTGCCTATCTAATTCTCCTGTCTGTCTATCGAACTTTGTATGTCTTTCTGTCTATCTAGCTCCCTGTCTGTCTATCTCTCTATTTATCTCACTGTCTGTCAATCTCTCTATTAACTATCTTTGTCTATCTAGCTTCCAGCCTGTAAAGCTGTCTGTCGATCTAACTACCCCGATGTCTACCCAGCTGTCTGTCTCTCTATATCTATCTTTCTATCTCACTGTCTGTCAATCTTTTTGTCTGCCTGTCTCCCTGTATCTATCTTTCTCACCGTCTGTCAATCTATATGTCTGTCAGCTTCTCTATCTATTTATTTAGCTCTCTGTCTGTCTAGGGTCTGTCTCTCTGTCTGTCTAACTGTCTCTGTCTGTCTGTATATCTGTCTAATTATCTGTCTCTCTCTCTCTCATTGTCTGTCTGTCTGTCTGTCTGATGTTACAAGCTCTCTCCCAATTATCTGTCAGAAGTGCCTTTCCATTAAAATTTGCATTTCAATATTTCCTGCCTCACTATCTCCCAGACTAAATCTATAATTAATTTAAAGATTCTTTGTTGTTTGCCCAATCCATCAATCACTGAAATTGCTGAACTCCCAGCTCGGGGAGGGACAGTGCAGGAATGCACCATTCAACTTCACTGTCTTCATGGTGAGAATGTTTTAAAACCTGTGCCTTTGTTCATTTCCAATATTTACCTCGGTGCATTACCCACTCTCGACATCCTGTTTATTTACTCCCAGGCTCCCTGGATTGTCCCAGCTCCCAAATCCCAATTTTTTGAGCCCCTGATTCTCCAGCTCCCATGAGGAGTGTGATAGCCAATACTGTACAACCCACATTGTAAATAAGGATCTAAAGTGATAACTTCATAATCAGCACTGTTCCACATCTCTCCGAGAAGGTTTATATCTTTCCATTGTCCAAGTATACAATAATATGTTGTGTATCTATTGCTATCAAATAGACAATCTGTGATTGTCAGTAAATATGCTTGGATTTGGTTACACTATTCCTGCTAACATTGTAAACTACTTTCCCTTATTTAATGTCCACATCCTTGTTTAAACATGGCAAAAATGTTTCACTTATATTTGCATACTTTTGTATGAACATGCGTTTATCATAGAATTCTCCAAATCCATTTGTGTATATGTGATTGTGTAAGCAGTAAGATCATTATTAATGAGAGGATGTCAGATGTGGTTTGAGATTATGTGGGATGGAGCTGGGTTAAATATTCTGGGTTTTAGTATGAGTTGTTGATCAGACACTGCACAATAATCTGATCCCTTTGTGGCTCTGTGACCACTGGCACAAATTAAGAGGTTTACTCTCACATTGAGTGTGAGTCTTTCATCCTCAGAAAAGGCAAATTAAAGTGAAATTTAACCATAATCATTTATTGACAGGTTATTAAAATGCCATTGTGATTCCCAAGCCTGAAGTTTGATTTGAAAAAGGCTTGATGATCTGTTTAAACTCCTCATTGACTGCCCTCTGCATTTGCCAGGGATCTGCTTTCTAAAAGGATAGAGAGAAATTAGAATGTAAATATACTGAGGGGCAGAATAGGAACAGTGTGCAGGCAGAGAGAGAGACAGACAGACAGACAGACAGATGTTTTCATAGGAAGAGGAGAAAAGAAACAGATTGAGGAGCTCATAAGAAGAGAATCCCAGAGAGAAAGAGAGGAATTCAGAAATAACAAATTCCAAAAGGAAAAAGAGACTTTCTGAACCACAGCACAGAGTGAAAAAGGTTCAACAGTAGAAAAATACAGAGACATGAGAGAGGGAAAGAGGGAGATGAAGACAGAAAGACTGAGACAGATATATATGAATAAAAAGACACTATGGGAGTTGGTTAGCTCAGTTGGCTGGATGGCTGGTTTGTGATGCAGTGTGATGCCAACAGTGTGGGTTCCATTTCTACACTGGCTGAGGTTACCATGAAGGACTCTCCTTCTCCACCTCTCCCCTTGCCTGAGGCGTAGTGACCCTCTGGTTAAACCACCCCCAGTCGTTTCTGTCTGATGGGAGAGCGGTCCTCTGGGACAATGACAATTTTACTAATCTATAAGCCCCCTAAGCTACTTGATAGTATTTATACTGTCGAACAGAGTAAATCATGAAATGTTGTTTTGATTGTAAAAAGAAAAGCAGGATGTTAATCTTTAATATTATTAATATAAATTTTGCTGCTTAAGTCCACTCCAGCCAACACTGCCCTCCTTCCATTGTAATTTTCCTTATTTAAGTTTAGCACAATCGTTTCTGACCCAGGTTCTTCCCTCAAAAACTGAATGCTAAATTTTACCATGTTGTAGCCACTGTTTCTGAGGGAATCTTTTAGTCTGAGATAGGTTATTAAACCTGCCTCATTATACGGTACCAAGTCTTAAGTAGCCTAATCCCTGGTGCAATACACAACATACTGTTCTTGGCAACTGTGCCAAATACACTCTGTGAATTCGTCCTTATGGCTATTTCTGCTAATTTGATTTTCCCAATCTACGTGAAGGTTAAAGTCACCCAGTCTTGGCTGAGATGCAATTTTATCCAGTCAAAGGGGAATTGTAAACTGGAAGAATAATAAACTTTTTTTTCAAGCTTGAAGTGGCTTTTACCGCAGTGAACAGAGAGAGCTCCTGGGCTGCTGGAGGTCTGAAGGTTCTCTCTCTCACTGTGGTTCACAGCCCCTAGCTGTTCAGCTACCTGAGAGCCAATCATGTAGTTGTTGCCAGGCGGAAGTCGTTTGATAAAAACCGAAAAGAACTGCGGATGCTGTAAATCAGGAACAAAAACAAAGCTGCTGGAAAAGCCCAGCAGGTCTGGCAGCATCTGTGAAGGAGAAAACAGAGTTAACGTTTCGGGTCCGGTGACCCTTCCTCAGAAGTCATTTGATTAGCTGGTAACTAATCCACTGACCAAACAGCTGCTTGTAATACCCAAAACTCCATTTGTGCAAACCCTTGGGCTCCAGTTCATCTGCAAACGACATATCAGCCACTGCTTCACTCTGAGGGCCAGGTCACTTGCTTTAAAAACATGCAGCACTACTCTGTTTTAAAAGAGTTATGTTCTTATTTCAGTCCACAATTAAAAATGCAGAAAGTTAAAGGTAACAGGCTCTCTACATCAGTAACTTTCCTTTCTCCTCGATGTCAGACAGGCAGAAGTCAGAAGCATCGCGATGTATTGGACAGCCCTGCAATCCTTCAGTTGGGAACCTGGCAGTTGGGAGGTCAGTGCAGACCCTAACCACATGTGGCGAACATGCCACAGAGTTATACTGCTCCTTCCTCAACAGTGAGGGTCCCAGGGACCTCGGCTCCAGCTGCAGACACACAACCTGCTCCAAGTGCAATTCCAAGCAGCCAGGATATTCCCACCAGGCCTCAGACATGACTGGCAACTCCTTCCGTCAACGGGATAGCTGGTGGCAGTCTACCCAAGGTGTGCCCAGGGAAGAGATCCGACTGGATCTGGAAACGGAATTCTACTTGACGCATGTCATCCTGGTCTTCAAGTCACCCAGACCAGCAGCCATGATACTGGAACGCTCCCAGGACTTCGGGCACAGCTGGAGGCCCTACAAGTATTTTGCCAGGAATTGTACAGAGACGTTCGGGATGGTGGATGACTCTGAGCTGCAGAGCTCACTCTGCACCTCCAGATACTCCGACCCACTGCCCTGCTCCAACGGCGAGGTAAGACCTTCTCAAAACTGACAGGTCACCCTCACTGGGTTTACCTGAATGAATAAGTGCCGCACTGTCGGAGGGTCAGTGCTGAGGGAGCGCCGCACTGTC